GGCGACCAGTCGCTGCCGAGTTCCAGGCTGCTCCAAAATGCTGCACCGCTTCAGACTGCTTCGGCGCCGGACCACAGTCACTTTCCTCGTTCGTCACGATGACAGTCAATTAACTCTATCGTGCGATTAACTAACTTACAGAAGCCACTAACTATCGCGGGGTATAAGGTTACCGCACAAAACGCACACGGAGTTTCTGGATCAAAGGTCGCTACCGTTTCGCGTTGCAACAGTTAGTTCTAGAATATCAGAGGCCGCACTAGGTAATATTGTCGAATGCACTTATACAGATTCTGAATCGGACCCAATAAGTTCCGGGAAGCTCTCCAGCAGGAATGCGCGTCACAAAATCCTAGACCGTGTGTTTACGGGAGGCACCTAATTATTCCGAGTTCCCTAACAAAATGACAGCGTGCCAATCGTTAGCACTGCCTAAAGACGACTGACTGCCCTTGGGCGTTTTACGCACGACCAAATGTCAAACCGGTATGACACTGAGCCGCGCGCCCTCTCGCGTTCGTTCCCGAAATTAGCGCTTGGCGCGAACACTACATGTATCTTATATACACGTTATTCAATCAAACTATTACCTTAGCGGTGTCCTTAACTATTATAATTGACTATAACTTAAGAGAAAACGGAGAGTCTAATTTCCTAACCTCGTAACATCAAACTTCACCTATCAGCTGACGGCATGAAAATTATTTTTATCCAATAACAGTTACAAAAATTTTATTTAATATTACTAATTAATAAGTAAATTAAAAATCCTGTTTAAATTATCATAAATATGAATCTACCCCGCGGATACGGTATCGTAAACATCGTTTGTGTTTCATTCGTGATTAAATAATCTTAAAATAGTGTTAAAAGCTAATAATTACTTTCGAAATTCATATAATTTTTAAGTGCATTAAATATAGTGTTTGGTAGTGCAATAAGTCTTTTCTTATATAAACTGCCATAAGTATAATCTCAGTGTATATTTGGTGGCATTAAATATTAATTCGCCGTCATTAGTAACAAATATTAAGTGGGGGTCGTTGCTATGCGTATATTCGATCGATTCCGGTGGGGCTCGGGCCAATTCGCTTGTGATTAAGGAGTACCTAGCTGCCTCTCCTCACCTCTGTGAATCTCGTGCGTCACCGTCGGTGCTCCGGGCACTTTGGAGTATGTCTACAAAATGCTACGAATTTTGCTACGATACACTATCGCTTTGGGGATATGTATTATCGTTCATTGGCTACAAATGAGTACGCGACTTTTGTGAACATCTTAGAGTATTTGGATTCATTTCTAAATTAAATAACGAACATGGAATGTGGTGCATTAGACACAAGAAGGTGGACTCATTAAATGCGCTGGTTGTGACAACACATTTCATTACGAGTGCTGCAACATATGAAAGCAAGTGTATTTCGACGAATACGTTGAGAAAAAGCAGAGATAGTATTGTCCATTTCGCACTAATATAGCTCGGCCCATAAATGATAGTACACCAGTTAGTAAGTGCATCATACGTTCGCTCCAAGTAAGTCCGGCAGATATCTCTAATATGTCTTGTGATGAAAAGCTGCAACGATCATCACACTTGGAACAATCTAGTAACAGTGCTTTACAGCACAAGTTGCGACAGCAAAACTCAGACTCCGTTACCATAGGTCAAATCGAATCGAAGCTCTTCTCGATCGGAAACTCAGTACATTCAAGAAAAATGTAGTGCAAGAAGTATATACAACGGTGATGAAAGAATTTAATTATACCATCAATAAGTCGGAAATGGATATCACAGTAGCCACTGATTTCCTTCAGAAAGGACAGGATGACATTCTAAAGGAACTTGAGGTGGCTAATAACAAAATTAGCCCGAGTACTTGAGTGATCTGCGCTTAAAACAAATATTGAGTCATTACATCGTCGTTTAATGAGCTTCGAAGAAACCTCACGATGCCATAACGTTGAAATCCAAATGGTTCTGAAAAAAAAAGTCTTGAAAATATACTGCATCTTATACAAAAACTTTACGACATCGTGAATGTAAGTCTGGATACATATAACTTAATCTTAATAAAGGGGCAGGACCAGACAAAATATCACCTACTTTCCTTAAAAAAATGTGCTACTGAACTAAGTCTACATTTGTCAATTCTCTTTAATAAGTCTTTAAGCACAGGGGCGTTTCCATCAGCGTGGAGACTTGCACCTATTGTTCCAATACACAAATCAGGAGATTACTTGTTATGATAAAACTATTAAAGTATCAGTATTCTATCTTGTATCAGGAAAGTTTTTGAATCTCTAATTTATGATCGAATTTATTATCATGTACAATCAGATCTTTTCGAGCAACATCATGGTTTTGTCAAGGGAAAGTCCACAATATCAAATATGTTGGAATATAAGGCATATCTTTGTTCAGCCTTCGTAGTAATTGGTCAACTTGACACACTATATATCGATTTCCACAAAGCGTTTGACAAAGTTAACCATGCATTACTTTTTCAGAAACTTGGTTGGTACGGCATCTATGGTAATTTTTTCCGATTGGGATTCGTCTTACTTAGAAAACCGTAGCCAATTAGTTACTGTAAAGAGATATAAATCGACTACCTTCACAATTAAATCAGGTGTCCCACAGGGATCCCATCTGGGCCCTCTACTGTTTTATATTTTTATAAACGACCTAATCCCAACACTAACTTGTCCATGTCTATTACACGCAGATGACCTTAAATTGTTCAAGAAAATTAATGACCACAATGATTGTATAGATTTGCAAAATGATGCTAACACAATTGCTGACTAGTACAAACAAAACTGTATGTACTTAAATAAATAAATAAAATAAAAATAAAAAAGCCTTTTATTTCTTGCTTCAAAAAGTAAAAATTTACAATTTTAAAACAGTGTGCATGCAAAAAATTAATTAATCCAGTGTTACAAAAACTTAGTATTTTGGTATATATTACTTTTAGTAGTTAGGAATATAACGTTTATTTAGTAAGGAATATACTTAATTTTGATAGGTAGGTATGTAATAGAATAATATAGAACAAGATAATTTATCTTCTTACTTCTAGTAGTTGTCTTAGACAATTATAACAATGCACAATGAAAGTTTTTTTTTTTTGTACGATTGCAAGAACCCCTCTCAATGGAGGGTAAAGGCCTCCTCCAGAGATGACCATTGTTTTCTGTCCTCTGCTACTCGCATCCAGTGGGTACCTGCTATTTTTATAATGTCGTCTGCCCAGCGCGCAATTGGTCTACCCCTTTTCCTTTGGCCCAATGGTCCTACCCATGATGTGGTCTTTATGGTCCAGCGATTGTCAGTAAGTCTGGCTACATGTCCAGCCCATCGCCATTTTAGCTTCTGTGAGTAGCTAAGAGCGTCAATGGCTTTAGTTTTCTGTCTTATGGTAGTGTGGCGGATTTTTTTGATCTTCCTAATTTTCAAAATGCTTCTTTCCATACTTCTTTGACTGGTTATGATCTTATTTTTTATTTTCGTAGTAAATTTCCATGTTTGACAGGCGTATGTTAGGGAGGGAAGTAGGCAGTTGTTCATGACTTTGCTTTTTAGCCTTATGGGCAAGTTGCTTTTTAGAATTTCTTTGAGGCTCCAGAACTTCTTCCAAGTGATGTTGACTCTTCTCTCTACTTCTTGTTCGTTGTTGTGTTGGTTAAATGAAATTTGTTTACCCAGATAAATGTATGTATCAACATAGGTTAAAGGCAGATTTTTGAGATATATAGGTATTTTAGTGTGATTTGTCATGATATTAGTTTTAGTTAAGTTGATTTCTAAGCCTACTTTACTACTTTCTTCATGTAGAGAGTTTATCATCACTTGTAGTTGGTTTGTGCTTTCTGATAGCAGAACTATATCGTCAGCAAATCTGAGATGACTCAGGTAACAACCCTTTACGTTTATGCCGACTTTCTCCCAGTTTAGTTTGCGAATGATGGACTCTAGCACTGCTATAAAGATTGTTGGTGAGACTGGGTCTCCTTGCCTTACACCTCTTTTTATTTGTATGATTGGTCCAGTGGTCTCCAACTTCACTCTGCTATTACTGTTGTCATAGATGTTTTTTAGGACTTGTATGTAGTCCAATGCCACTTCTTGAGAGAGTACAGCTTCCCAAATCGATGAGTGGAGTAGAGTATCGAAGGCTTTTGGTAATCAATAAAGACAGCATAGAGTGGTCTGTTGAACTCTTGGAATTTTTCTATTATCATCTCTAGCGAATGTATATGGTCAACAGTGGAAAAACCTCGCCTGAAGCCCGCCTGTTCTATAGGTTGGAAGTTTTCTGTGGTTTCTTTTATTTTTTTCTCAAGTATGGAGGAGAAAAGTTTGTATAGTGAAGGTAGCAGGCTTATTGGTCTGTAATTACTAATATTGTTTGGGTCTCCTTTTTTGTAGAGCAAAATTATTTCCTACTCTGACCATTGACGTGGGGTGTTTTTGCAATTCAGTATCATGTTGAACAGTCTGGTTAGAGGTTTAACTAGATACTTGTATCCTGTTTTTATAGCCTCGTTGGTGATTCTGTCGGGCCCTGGGCTTTTATCTAATTTTAATGCCTTAATTCCTTTAACCACCTCGTCTTCATCAATGGTTGCTTTCGCCTCGTCTGCACTACTACTCGGTAATTTATATGCTGGTAGCTTAGGTGTGCTATAAAGATTTTTGTAAAAATCTGTTGCTATTTTGAGTATTTCCGTTCTATTTCGTGTGTTGTTTGTTTTACTTTTCAACTCTTCGATCCATGATTTATGTGTTCTCAGTTCCTTGTATGCTTTTTTGGCGCTCCCTGTGGCATGAAGGCATTTTTCTATGGTTTGTGTGCGGTGTGCCTTATAGTCTTGGTTAATTCGTTTACTTATCAGCTTGTAAAGTGCTTTTAATTCATTTTTCATAGCCCTTGATTTTGGTTTTGTTTTTTGTATTTCTTGTCTTCTGCTGATTAGTACCTTTGTGCGTGCTGATATTATTTGGTTTTTCTCTGTGTTTGTATTAGATGTTGGATCATGTTTTTTAGGCTGATATCTATTGCGTTTGTTATTTTATCATAGCAATTCTGGACGGTGTCTTGGTCATTCCAGTAGTCTAACAGATTTACTAAGCAGCTGTTCAGCGATTCAATGTAGGTTTTCACTTCTTCATGGCTCTTTAGCTGGGATTGGGGGCGTTTACCAAACTTGCTACGATTTTTTAACCTTGAAATAATACTGAACGCTGCCCTAACAGGTCTGTGGTCCGAAGGGTAAGTGATGTTTAAGACCTGTATATTGTTTACGTTTCTCGGTAGGTTTGTTAAAAAGTAGTCTATTTCGTTTTTTGTATTACCATCGGGTGATTTCCAAGTCCATCTCTGTTTGTTGTTCTTTTTGAAAAAAGTATTCATAATGGCTAGATTGTTCTCGTACGCGAACTCGATGAGTCTGTTTCCTCTACAGCTTCTATTACCATAGCCGTAACTTCCCGTAATGGTTTCGTTTGGTTTGGGTTGACCAATTTTGGCGTTAAAGTCACCCATGACTATTATATTATTTCCTGAAAGTTGTATGGCTTTGTCGACAGTATTGTAGAATAACTCTAGTTCTTCTTCTTTCGAGGCCTCTGTTGGGGCGTAAACTTGAATGATGCTTAAGTCTAAATTGTTGGTATGCATTCTTAGCAGGGCCACTCTTTCTGACAGTCCATTGAAACTTTTTATGTATTTTTTCAGGTGTTTTTTGATAATAAAGCCTACTCCATATAATCCCGGCGTTTCTCCAATGTGGTAGAAAATAAACTCATCATGTTCCTCTATTTTGTTACCGAGTTTTCTGACTTCTGAGAGACCAATAATATAGTACTTTACGTTTTTTAATGATTCTGTTAGTTCCAGTAGTCGTGAATAAGTCGATAGGGTTTTAACGTTGTAGGTCGATATATATATAGGTTGTTATGATACTTGTTTTTAGTAGTCTTTGAAGAACCTACTAATGTTTCCTCTGGAGGGTTTCGGTCGTAATCTTCCACGGGGACCAGCCGGCTTGGAAGATGTGGTTTAGTGTTTGTTATTATTTGTAGTGTGTTTTCCGTGAGAGAGGGCTGTAATTGCTATTGTTCGTTATTTTTGTTTGTTTGGTCGTATGGTAGTTTATTTTGGTTGTTAGTGGTTTGGTTTTTAGTTGTTAGGAAACTGAGTATTCCTGGTTTCATAACTCCCTCTGATAAACTCGACGATCTTCGTAGTCCTGTTTGAGTTTTGTTCTTTTTATTAGCTTGTGTCTTTGGTTCTGGTTGCGTAAAATCATTGTAGTTTGGTGATGTTGGTAGAGTTCTTTTCTTGTTGCCTGATGTATTTGCATTTTTGTAGTGTATTATAAGTTTGTCGTACTTGATAGTGGCGGAGTTTCCTTTCTCTTTTTCAATTTTTGCTTGCTCTTGCAGTTCCCTTCTTTTTTCTAAAATATGTTGTGGAAAGTCTTCTTTTATGTAATAAGTGGTATCTTTCAATACTCTCCTGTGTTTAAAGATTTCCATTTTTTTTGTGCCCAATGAAGTAAACGTTACGGTAATCGGCCGTGGTTTTTCTCCTTTCTTCCCTATTCTCCTAGTTTCTTGTATGTCTCTTTGTTCTAGTCCTACAGAGAAGTATTGATTTATGAAACTTAATACGGTTTTTTCTAAATTTGCATATGATGTATCAGTTTCCGCTAAGTCAAAAATAATGATGTTCCTCTGTCTTGACTGTTTTTCTAAAAAATATAATCTTTTTTCCTGGTTTTCCAGCTTCTCTTTGAGGTTTTCGTATTTTATATCTATTGCTTTGAACTTTTCCTCCAATATGGAGTTTATATTTTGCGTAACTTGTTCCGTAACTTTGTCAGCTGACTGTACAATTGTTGTTTTTTGTTCATTCAGCTCATTTTGAATTTTTCTAAGCATATTCATTACTTCCTCCATATTTGGCTCGATTAGGAACTAGAGAACGAAACAGTTGTTTGGTGCGTGATAGTCTTTATAGCTTTGAGTATTTTCTCTAGATGGCACTGTTTTATTGATCAAAAATGCAAAATCAGCATTAATTTAAATGTTTTTTGTAAGTTTTGCACTTGAATAATGTAAATTATAGTTTTGCACTTCGTTCATTTGTTTTTAGACTACTGTTGACAATCTAATGTGGGAAATATTGTTAATAGTTTAGTTTTGAGGTCTTTTTCACTTCACTGTTTTGCACTTGTAATAATTTGCTATTCACTATTTTCGGACCTTGTCCACAATGTTTTTCGATAGTCACTTGTTTATTATTCCACTCCACTTGTTTTTAATGTTAAATATCACTTGTTTATATTTTTATATTACACTAAATACGGAACCGATGTTTATCATGGCTCAGTAGCGCCCTCTCTCCTGTATGTACTTAAATATAAATAAATGCTTCGTTATTTCTTTTACCAACAAAGGTAATAAAATAAATCACGATTAGTATATACTTGAAGGTCAAATTTTCAAGCGAAATTCAGTGGCAAAACTTAGGTGTTTACTTTGATGAAAAACTACTTTCAGAAATCATTATGATCACAATGTTTCTAAGTCGCTTAACGGTGGTATAGCACGCAGCAGCTTTTGCTGTTGCACGTATGGGCCGGCTCGAGCCGGGTTAGTACCACGACCTCACAGAATACCGGCGTGAAGTGGAAGCTCTGCTTCCGCGTTTCGTCTGGTGAGTGCAGTTGAGTGGAGGCCCAATTCCCTCCCCCCCCATCAACATGGTAGCGGAATTACATCATAAACTACCCCAGGAGGGTAACAGTACCCCTGGAGAATCCCTCGCTGAGCATCCACCAGAGCATCCAGCGCAGAGCGGCTCGAATCGTCGACGACCGACTCCTTTCCGATCGGCTCGACTCATTGGCACTGCGAAGAGATGTTGCATCTCTTTGCATTTTCTTTCGCATTTACCACGGGGAGTGCTCTGAGGAATTGTTCGGATTAATCCCAGCCGCCAAATTTCACGAACGCACATCGCGGCAGAACTCCCGATACCATCCACACCATCTGGATGATTGGCGGTCCACCACTGTGTGATTTAGAAGATGTTTTCTTCCTCGCACAACTTCCTTGTGGAATAGTTTACCACCAGCGATTTTTCCGGACCGATACGACTTAGGGACCTTTAAGAGAAGATCGCACTCTTTTTAAAAGGCCGGCAACGCATCTGCGATTCCCTCCCTGGTGTTGCAGTTGTTCATGGGCGGCGGTAGTCACTTACCATCAGGTGAGCCACATGCTCGTTTGACCCCTCTCCTATAAAAAAAAATACAAGGTATTATATGCTTACATAAATTAATCCACTGCAATTTTTTTTCCCCAACTATTTTATCCCAAATCAATTTTAGTATCAAGACGAATCCCAGGCGTCGTCTTAATATAATTATCTTTAATGTTTACAAGAACAATATTTCATTTTAATATCCTATAACACGAGTATGTCGCTCTTATAATGATATGGTTTTGACACAGTCAGGTAGGGACATTGACGTCTTTGACAATAATATAAGTAAGCTTCGCACTCAAATGTTCCACTACTTCAAGTCACCTCCAAATTAATTTTTATCGCTTTAATTATATCTAAAAAAAAACTTTCACTAAATTTTCATAAAATTGTTTAACTATTTTTATTTCATAGATATGTTTACGTATAATGCATGTTGCAACTGTATTCCGGGTCAAAACTTTGTATTAGGTTAGCTATTTATGTTACGTAAAAGCGAATATAAACTGTTGTGTACATCAAATAAATAAATAAATAAATTTTTCCGGCGTCACAGTATTTAGGGATATTTTTTATATTTCATCGAATATCTAAAAATCTATGAAGAATTTTTTGATATAGTAAATGAAATAATGATAGGTTATTGTAAGAAAATTATTTTTTTCACTCGTCTTAGAAAATTAGTACGATAAAAAGCTTCATTTCTTCTTATAAAACTATTAACTTTAATTAAAATGAAAAAAATCTTATAAAATCTAATTATTAATTATCACTGTTGCCACGTCTTACATTAATTACACATCGTCATCGATTGTTCATACTTAAAATTAAAATGTAAATGTCTTGCTGCGGTATGAGGTTCCATGTTCTTTGCAAGTGTTCGTAAAGTTGTTGTTCCGCCGTCAAATTTGGCAGGAAATCTCCCAAAGATTTTCGTTGTAACATTTTCGTTGTTGTAACGTCGTCCCAGGTACACTCGAAAGGATTGAAGTCGGGCGACTGTGCAGGCCAAACTAAAACTTGAATATCGTGGTTTCGAAGAGCGACCGACATCAGCCGCGCGATAATTCACCATATGGGAAGGAGCATTATCGTGCATGAGTAGAAATTGCTGGCCCATTTCGATTCTGTGTGGGACAATAACAGGCTCTACTACCTCCACGTGGTATTTTTGTCCAGTCATTTTGCCTTGGATCCAAACGAACTGGGTTCGTCCGCCAAAACGAATTCCTGGCCACACCATGATTATCCTGCCTTGCTATGAGTGGACCTCATGAGAGTGCCGTAGACAGCTAACTCTTCCTGGAGTTCCCCAAACGCATGTATTTTATGAATCCTGATGAAACCCAAACTGGGACACATTGGTGAACAGTTCATCACTCCATGGTAATTGCTCCCGAGCATACAAACCATCATACAACGAGCATACAAGCCGTCAACCGCGATCGCCAATCGTTGCAATGCTGGAACACGTAGCGGTCTTCGAGCATGAAGACCAACTTCAAAATCTTTCGCATGGTTTTACCGCTTAGCAGCAGCTGGTGGTACTCCTGGTCTTTGAGTTGTCTTCTGGCGGTTATTTGGAGAAATCAATCCTGACTCTGCGTAAAAACACGATATCTACCCGTGTGCCGTTCAGCCACATCCCCAGTACAGCGATAAAGTGACCACAACCTTGATATCACGTTTTGGCTGTTGTGTAGAGCGTCGGCAACGAAACGTTGAATAGCACCATTTTCTAACATGCCCACGACTCGTAACATTTCAGTCGAGAGTCAGAGTTTGAGTTGAGATCACATGACTACGTGACATGGCTCTTAGACCTCACACGTGCCGTGTAGTGGTAAATTAAAAAAGAAAAACAATCTGATCTCTTTTCATCAGTTAACTTTTCTCTTTTCATCAATAGAACAATGTTAATTTTCCTTGACGTAACGAATTACTAACAATTTTACCGCCGTATTTTGTTTTTTCTTTTGTTTCTTTTTTATTTAAATTTTTAAATTTTGAAAATAGAATAAAAGAGGTTTCAATCTGTATATAAACTTTTTATGGAAATTAAAAACATTTTAAACTATAAAGTCGTAAATAATTTAGGATTACGGTATCCCCAGATTCTGTTGATGTGGGTCAAACGTCATGTAAACATAATTGTTTACATTACGTTTGATAAAAAAAATATTTTCATCCAGTAAGCGGTAGATAGTAATTATGTTCTGTGCGGACGAGTGAAGGTCGATGTCAATTTGGATCCAAAGAGTAATATAGTGTGATAATATTACTTTTACTATAATATGATATTATGACATATAAACTGCAAAAACGAACAAAATTGAATGAAATAATACATAAGAGAAAAACAACAATAAAATTTTACTAATCGTCAAGCGGTTGATGCTTAATGC